GTTTACTAAGAAAAGAGTCAATATAGTGATTTGGTAGAAACTTATTTGTTCTAAGGTTTTCTAAAACATTGGTTTTATTAGGATAAAGGCATCTATCGAGACCTTTTACGGGCGATGATGAGGCTGAGAGTGATCTTGTGTCATTCATATCTCTTCGCTTCCGCAAAATGCTATCCAACTGTTTTTCTACAGACTTTCTTATGTTCTCGAAAGGTAGATTGTCTTCAGAACTAGTGCTAATTAATGAGGAAAACTCTGAGTTCCTTAGTTCTGTGGACGATGGACGGTTTAAATTTAAGGTTGAAGTTTCAAATGGTATGGGTAATTTTGTACTCTCTCTAAACTTGACATTTTTTTCTCTTAACGATGAGTTTTGGCTCTGCCAACTTTTTTGAGAGGCATAAAGCTCATCGTATTCTTGTCTATACTCCAAGCCCTTCTGGTATGCAAATTTTTGTACATCTAACATGTGACTGGATTTCAGTGGCCAGGTTCCACATAGAAGTTCTCTTAGTTCATTAACAACTTTTGTAACTTGTGTAGAAAGCATTCTTAGGTTTTCACCTTGATTGTAGTTTGATTCATTCTTGTCTATACTACGGTTTTTCATTGACTTCGAATCAGTTAGCTCCCCATGAGATAAAAGATTATCAGTAAGATGGTTCTCACAGTGTTGTGATCGTCCCATCTGTTCATTGTCTTTGGAATTTTCATAATTAGTAATTATTTTATCATTACTTTTTCCCTTTAATATGGTATCTAAATGTTTTTCAGTTACTTTGCTAAAAATTGCTTCCAACTGAACTCTTGGTTTTTCTCTGTTTTCCTTGTATGTTGAGTGTTGGTCATTCATTTTATGAAATTCCACAGTATCACACTTGTCACGTAGACGAACATGTAAACCATCTTTATTATGTACGTTATTTTTAATTAAATAATTTACAGAATATTCATCTTTATTATTGATTACTTCTGCAATGTCTTTTGTATTCGAATTGCAATCAAAATTAGATGTTGAACTGTCCTTTCCATGTTGATACTTGTTTGTAAACTCAGTTTTGTGCGCAGTCTCATGTAAATCTACCTCAGAAATATTGTTTTCCAGTTTGTTTGATAACTCATAGATCATAATGTACTCTGGCGCTAAAAATGTCACACGTTTTTTACGTTTATCACTGAGAACAATTGGTTCAGGATTCTTTTGGCCGGACTTTTGATTACATAACAGAGTACTCCTGTCTGGTCGAAATTTGGCTGAATTTTCATTTTTCATTTGGAAAGGTTTTGTTATTGCCCTACTTTTGATGACTTTCGTTAGTGGAAGTGAATCCAAATTATTATTTCTTAAATAAACGGCTACAGGTGACGACGAAATTGTAGAGGCTGTCTGGGGAATCATTCTATGTAAAACGCTTGTGTTATTGATTACGTTATCTTGAATAGAATCCTTTCATTAGAAAGCGAATTGTATATATTTGTTTACAATGTCGATTCGTCATTCAATCGTTTAATTTTTATTGATATTTAAAGGAAATAATTAGAGAAAGGTTTTTGGCATTGTGTATGTAATTACTAAAAATTATACCAACTGTCTATTTTCAAAGCTCACTTCCTAAGGATATCTAACTTATAGTTGCTGACAAGAAAATATAATGGAGTACATTTTAGGAAAAGTCATATTCTTCAGTTTCGGAATAAAGAAATTAAGTTGCCATCACGTTTTTAAAGTTAGATGGAGCTTTTCAACTTACATTTGTTCGGCTTTTACGTGCAAATCATATAAAGTGCTATAAATCCAGGGCACCTTGCAAGTTGTAAATTTATCGCTTGACATATGATGAGCGGTTACTACAATTCTTCAATTACTACCGAAAACGTACCAGTCATCTTTAAAACTTAAGCGGCGTTTCATTAAAAAGGTATTTTGTACTATATCTCTCCTTTAAAAAAATTTAGTTTTTAAGACTCAAATAAATTAGTGAGAAAAAGTAAAACTTCATTTACACCAGATATCTAGTTTGTTCTAAAAAAGACTCATGAAAGCTAAAAATGTTATTAATAATAAACTCTCAGCTCAAAGCATCGTTTATTTCCATATCATTCAGTTTTTTTGATTCTTAGAAGATTAATGACTCAGCAATTAACCTGCTAATTGGGACTAACAAGAGAAATCTTCCAAGTTAATGTCACAACATTGATAGTTATCGGTCACAAAGCCTGCATACAGTAAGCTTAACAAATATACGGTAAATACATACCAAGACTTTTAAATGATGTTAAGTTGCCTGATTTTCGCAGAAACGAATAATATCTTTTGACGTCAGCTCAAAATATATGAAAACAGTATGTTTGGTTTTTGTAAATATCATGTGATTTTATTCATATTAAATTACGCTTAAATATACATTTGCTTCAAACGTAGAATTATTTTAAACAAGTGAAAATTAATTATTTCAGCGGTTGCAATAAAATTAGGCACATTCATTCAGTAAATCTTATATCATTCTATATTATTCTAATTTATCAAATCTATAGGTCACCACTAGTTTTAATCTCCCTTGTTTTTGATCCGTGATTAAATAAGTTAATCGTCACTTTAGATGAAGACAACAAACATTCAACAGCTAAAAATGTTTTGTCTCTGAAAACAATTTAGATTCGTTATAAATGATATTTCGATAAAACCGCATAAAATATTTGAAACCTTTAGACACATTATTAAGTGATACGTTTGTGATAACTTCTTTGGAAAGATATACACCTCATATGACATCGTCAATCTTGAGTTACTGAATTTCGTTTTTACACTGTCACTAGGTAAAACCGTTAAATGTCTAGAAAAACAATATTTATTAAAATAGAACCCACTACGGTTTTCATTAATCAATAGTGAAAGTTTAGAACAAAACTTCACAAATACCAAAGAAGTGTTCTGGTTTATAATTACTAGTATTCTCGATTTGTACGTTTATAGCAAATTACGTTTTGTAAAGAAACGACTCGAAATCAAGATACATATGTAAGTGGATTGGTGTTTAACTTTAAGTTAACAGAAATAAACATAATGGTTATCAACCTTCATATAAGAGCTGAACTCTAAACTTAAAGATAATGTACTACGTATTGATTGTGTTTCTAAAATTTTGGTATAACCAATACAAAAACGAAAAAGGTTCTATGATGGTATTGTTAACGTAAAAGCAATAAGCGATTTCGTAAACTACATGTATTATTTAAGGGCATTGAGAGTAGAGTAATTTGGTGGTTGTTGAAGCTTCTTCCTTGAGTTTCATTACAGAAACAAAAGTACATGCATGACAACTAACGCCTGAAAACAACTTCACTGCCTATTTCATACACAAGTATATTACAAATTAAAAGGTCTAGACCTCTTGGAAAACATATATTTTTCAGGAGTGAGATGATGGATAAAAAGATGTAATAATTGCTCAGCTCTGATTTGACCATTTAAAAAGCCGTTAAACTAACAGTATTATTATTTCGCAACCTTAAAAAATTTGTAATTTGGTGATTTAATTGTATGATTAGTGAATTCATTTTTAAATATTGACAAGTATTTGGTTGGTAATCCACCTCAGTTACAAGTTGATATATATCAAAAAGCTTAGCTTGAATTTAAAAGCACAATTTTATCTTTAAAGCTAGGCAAGCAGTCGATAAAAACGACGTTACATTTTTTTATTATCCTAATCACTGGATATTATTCCAAACACGTTGTTGAGAATAGACAATTACGGACAATGGTCACTGTCAACATACATCAAGATAGTATCTCAATGATAAATACGAAATTCTAAAAAACGGAAATTTTCTGAACTGCAAATAATAACTGAGTACCGAAATCCTTTCATAATATTGGTGCCGACAACTTAGCAACTAAAATATTTTGAGAAGTACTAAAATAAGTAAACGAAAATTGAGAAAAGTCACAAAATAACCTCACGTACTCAAGTACCAGCATTTAGCTTTTAACTCACGTTATCAAAGTGAACACTTTTAGGCACATTTGGTTTATTAAAAAAACCCGAAATATTCTACCTCTTTTAAAATTAGCTGAATATTAACAAACCACTGAGTAAAAACGCGTCAGTTTGCTTTAAAAATATGGTGGAATTTAAACAACATCTATCGTAATCAGAATGCTACGCATATTGTCACATTGATAGACAGCTAATACAATATGTTCTCGACCTAAAACCATGATAGCTGGGCACTAAAACGATAGATTACTTATGAATATATACATAAAGTACCATGTATAACCTAGTGAGTAAAAAGGAAATAAACCACTCATTACCATTAAGTTATTTCAGATATATCAATAAGTAACTTCTTTTAAGTAACTGAGGTGTTTTTGAAACCCAAAAAAGATAAAACATATTTTGAAAAGTCAAATATCAGAACTTCAAAACGACCTAGTACGTCCCAAAAGTGTTAGAAATGGTACTTATCATCGGTGGAATTCGATCGCTCTACCATCTGGGTTAAACAAGTTTTGAAACGAAAGCGGAATGAAAACAAACAACCGCCACCTCTCACTTAAAAATATACAAGATAAATATAACTTGTCTAAAAGGTTTTCTTCAAATGTGCAGCTTTTGAGCGTTTTTCAAGTTAATTGTTATTTGGATATTTGGAGACAAGTTTTTATTTAAGAAAAACTTATAGCAAGCTAGAGATATGTTCAGAATATGGCCTTACGTTTGATCCCAATATCTAGACTTTTGCTACTTTCATTTAACCAAGGCGATATGTTTTCAAAAATAGCGTCACAGTTTACTCATTTCAACGTATCTTCTCTTTTTTGTTTACAATTTTGTGAAATCCGATTAGAATAACATTTTAGCATATCAAACTTTCTTACAACGCTTTGTCACGTGAAATACTTTATTATATACCCATCGATTCATATATACCGCGACTAACTCTTGCAAGTTACAAAATATAATTATATGCTTGGATCAAAAAAGCCAACTTACGTTGCATGGATCTGCTGAACGCTTTTCTGTTGCTGAGCAAACAATCTGACTGTTACTTCCATCTTTAATTATATTTTCAGATACATCATCTATTTTATTTGACTTTAGGCTCTGAGAATCTTCAGTTCCAGAAAAAAGCTTGAGATTTTTTTCAACTGCTCTCAATGCTGCTTGAAAGCCCTCGGACTGTCTTTCATTCTTGGGTTGAGGGACAGAGGAAATAGTTTCAATATTGCTGTAACTGTCTGAACCGTTAGCTGTAGTATAATTTTTATCCACACTGCCTTCTTCTGGGGTCTTTGCAAGGTTACTATCATTTGCATCATTATGTTCGTTATTTTCCCTTTCTTCTCTACATTGCATAGCCTTTTCTCTGGCAAAGCTATGTATTCTTGACAATTTGCTCTGTGTATTTGTCTGCTTTCCTGAGAACAATTGCTCCATTTCACCCATGACACTGTCCAAAATAGTATAGTTCACCTGTCGCTTATGGTAAGGTAAATTACTCAATTTTTCATTTGCTTTATGATGTTTATTATTTACACCTGGATAGGTTTTCTCTGTGTCTTCTGCATGGGATTGATCGACTACTGTGTTCTTGGATGTTTCATCAAGTCCATTTGTTGATGCATTTGGAACGTTTATATCAACAACCGCGGATTTAATTGGCTCCCTAATATCTGTGGGATGGGCATCCACTTTCTTTGAAGAGATGTTTCCGGGTAATTTGGAGCCTTTGATGGATGGCTTTGTTGCAGGGGTCAAGTTAAATTTACTTTTACTTAGGACTGAATTACTTTTTTCAGTACTCACTGTGTTCCTTTGTTGCACTGTTCTAACTGCAGTAAATATCTCTGTGTCTTCCTTATCATTTAAATTTTTGTGTGATTTCTCAGGTTTTATGATGGGCAACGAACTGTCTTCTGCCTCAGAATAGTTACTATTTTCACTTTGGAAGAGTTTCCTTTGTACTTGTGAAAAGTTTCTTCCAGACTGAATTTTGGAGAAAGGTTGTAAAGTTGAGGATACGGATGATAACTTTACGGATGTATATATAGGTTTGGTGGTTTTGGGTCCATTAACAATTACCGGCCGGGCTGTATGATAAGGGTTCCCATTAAGGTGTGAAGAACGGGGGCAAACTGAATTGCTGTTAACAGTTTCTGTGACAGCTTGCGTTGTATCACTTGTGGTGCTTCTTTTACAAGCTATACTTTCTAAAGGTTTATTAGACTTTGTAAACGTGGAAGAAACTTTAATCCTTTCACCTTCACCATCCTTTCCCCACAAATCGGAAGTTGAATTACTGTTTGATGCATTCTTCGATTTTATTGTAGTATGGTTAGGGTAACTGTCATTAAATCTGACAAATGGGTTCGCAATTGTATGGTTTCTTGTGTTTATATTGATAGTTGTATTTTTCTGATCTGGATTCGCAAGACATGCCTGGTTACTGAATAGAGTATACCCACCTTCTAAGCTTCTGCTTTTAGCGTTCTCAGTAGAAGGATTTTCCGACTTTTTAGTAAAAAAACGTTCATCAGCACTATATATGAATTGAATTGATCGCTTGCTGCCTTGGTACCCTCTAGGTATCATAAAATCAACAAGAGAATCCTTGTTTAACTCACTTTTTGATGGCTTTGGTAGTATCGCTGGATGTTTAAAATCCGTTCGTATGTTGTTCTTTGTAAATGATGATGATTCTGATTCTTTTGGTTTGTTTTTATTCTCGTTGAAATTCAGCAAATCACGGTTTCCAGAAAAACTTTTATCTCGTCCAACACTTGACATATTAGATGATACAGTGTTGTATCCGTTAATATTCTCAACTCGATGTCCACATATTGCAGTTTGTGTTCTGTATTCATTAGCGTGAACTGGTGGAGTACTTTTGCCACAGTCTCTCAAGCTAACCTGCGAAGCAGGGCTCTCCCTACTTGGCTTCAAAGTGTTTAAAAAGCTTTCAGTTCGAGGTCGTCCATTTAATCTATGAACTGTTAAGCTAGCATGAGTAGACAGGTCAGAAGCTCTACCAGCAGATTGGATTCTCCTATTAGGATAAGTATTATGTCTCTGAATTCCTTTGTCGTTAAGTAGAAGGTTTTCATAAGCGCACGTAAGGCGGGCTGTAGCTGAATGGTGCTTGACACCAGAATTAATATTTTTGGACAGTTCGTGCATTGAAATATCGCTTTGAAATTTCTCTCTGACCTGTTTAACTAGTCCAGGTGCGATCCCGTATGGTCTGAATGGTTCACACGCAGCTGAAACATTCGGCGAGTCGGTAGGTCTGAGCATATTTTAGCTGGAAGTGATCAAAAAACTTTCAAATTTCTTACTGTATTTCAGATTTAATAGGAAATTATCCCGAGACTCCAGCAACTCACTTCATACGTTTGTAATTACATTCGTTAAAATTTGACCATAAAACAATGGAAAATCATCAAAGAACTAAATTGAAAAAATTATATTTAATGATAATCATAGGACGTCGTTCTGAACCTGGTCTCAGTGATAATATATCATAACTGCGAAATGAGCGCTTTTTCGTAAAGAGAGTGCAAAGTTACTCGGTACATTAAAACGTAATTAAATAAAAAACGGCTTGACGATTGCATATAATATTCATATAATATTTATCCACTGCTTATGATGGATCTCTATCACCACTAATTACTTGTTCGAAAAGTAATGATTACATTTTTTACTAAGTAAAGGGCAACTAATATCATAGCTTTACTGCCCTAATAATTCATTCGTCATCTCACTTATGAGCTTTCACGTTATAACTCTGGTATCAAATGTATTGTATTTCATTTATCTACTTTCTCCTCAGATAGCTGATATAAAAGTGTTGTATTACCCAATTCTCTAAAATATGTATTTACATTGTTATTGTCATTAGATATTATTCCTTTAAGCTTGTGATGGCGTCGGTTCCCAACTACATGGTCTTAAATGCCAAGCACATAAATACTTGAAATATTTACATTCAACATACAACACTAAGAGAAGGTCAACAGCGATGAACGCGGGAACAGTCAATCGGCATGGCAAGGCTCAGGCTTGCAGGCGTTGTCATCCTTGTAAAGAATACCTATTTACATAAAAATATGTTATTCTACCCCCCTGCGCAAATGTGTTCTTTGTGAGTGTTAAACATAGTATTGGTGATTGTCACGATACGACGAGTCAGAATAGACAACGTTGCGACTTCCACATGGATTAAGAAGTCGGGTTGTGAAAATCTACAGTTTGGGGGTTAGGTATATTGTTATAGTAACAGAGTTAAATGTACTGAAGCCGAAATAGGACATAATTCTACAAGTCTGTCTGTCAGTTCTCGCCATCAGATCAAATAATGATCGAACGTGGAGTTTATCTGCTCTCAATTGCTACAAGAGTCAGGAGAATAGCTATGTTCGTCAACCTAAGAAAATGTAACAAAACTGTGAAATACAGAATTACGAAGTCAGCTCTCATTTTTATTTCGTTAATTTAGTAATTACCTGTCATTATGAAATGACAATGTTCACTCCAATTCGTTATGGATGAATAGTCTTTTGCCTTATTCACTGTATTAATAGACAACTACATATCTCAATAATAGGCTTTTGATTAACTTGAAAATCTTCGAAAGCTACATATTCGGTCAAATAGTTCATCTGTTACTATAAGATTGAAAGTCTTATATAAATGGATACCCTAAGTACATTTTATTAACATGTATCAAAGACTTTTCGTTAACAGGTAACTGTTCCGTGATTTGCTGGGGAATTTTCCAGCTATATTGAATATTCGAACAAGCGTAGTTATTACTGCGAGAATTCACGTTTGGTTTTTGTTAATCTGTTTCCAGCAGCCTCTGGCATCCTGGAAACTTATTCAGTAATCGATCAACCACGAACAAATGTTTCTGTTGCCTATGAATGACAGTGACCATCTCTGGTCACCTAATTATTGTTAAAGCATCCTAAACACCACAAAATAAACAGTAATCACTGAGTGTAGATGAGCATTTCTTTGTAATCCGTAGGGTAAAATTTGGCTTACGGTTGCTCAAAACAATTCTCGGTAAAACTAAGGAGATAGAGGAGAAAAATAGAAAATGGACACCTGCCCAATAAAACACTGGAAGGAGTTTATAAAAGATTCTTTCCGTTATAGAGTTACTTTGTAATAGCGTGGACGTCTTTACTTAATTTTGCACGTCAGCGTAGCTTGGATTATGGTAACGAAGATCGTTGGTAGTCAAGATACGCTTACATACCTGTGAATGTATCGAATTTAGATGTAGGCCGGTATAAGTGCACTTATATATGTTATTAAAACAGTAGATATAACCCAGTGTCGTGTACCTGCCATAAAATGACCACCCAATCGGACAGACCATATATCGAAGTCATATCACTGTTTATACTGACTACTCCTATCGTGATCGTCAGTCATGATAATCAAATGTGAAGATAAAGACTTTCCACAGGATAACCACACCTGCATGACCGAATCATGAAGTCACGATTCTCACATTCTCAGGTTGACCTTTTCTGGTTTTCAATAATCGTTCAATGAGTGGTATTAGTCATCTCAGACATTGTATGTCTTCATCCTCAAGGATCACGAGATGTCAATACAAACCGTTAATGGTAAGCGTCGAAGTGTCACTAGATTATCTGTTGTCAAGGGTTCGGGAGTAGGACCACGATGTGCACTACCTGACCATATATCGCCGTGTATGTAACGTGCAGTACTTTTTCACACCCACATTTGTTAACCTGTATTGGACCAGATAGGTTACTTAATATAAACGCGGTCAAGGTCATAAGTGAATAGCAAAAGACGTCAAAAATATTTAGGGAGCATCAATTATTTGGTCTCTCTGAAAGACAGAATAAGCAGTCTGAGCATGACACAGTACTAGATGCCATATACAATCTAATGACCACCATTTTTTCGATATTCGAAGCATATGCTTCTTTACTGAGCTTTTAGCCAGCATGTGTTCGTATAAATGACCACTCATCCCTTGAAAACAATTATTTTCAGGACAGAGGAGAAATGAATGAGGAGTTCTGACTCGATCCAAGGACATTGCGAAACCATCAAATTGTTCAGGCTTGGTAAGATCGATAGATTTTTATGCATTTCGAGGAGTAGCAAACTTAAATGACTTAAGTCTGTGCTCAGTGACAGGTAAATCAAAAAATTAAAAACATCAGAATCGGCCACCACTTTTCATATCCACTAGTCCATTAGTTTCATTGCTTTGAGTCAGTAACGAAATCTTAACCACTTGCTTTTTCATGGATTTGGTGTCATTCGCCCGACCAATCTGAATAATTCAGTTACGTAAGTTATATCAAGCTGTTAGGATGTATTAGTAGTCTATCCAATAATGGGCTCTATTTATGTGCCTTAACACGTCCGACTGGTACTTACACTAATATCGACTTTGTAGTACGGTTAAAGATTATTCGATGTGACAGTTTGAGGTTTATTTCGTGTTCTGTTTGGTATCACATATAGATTAACAGTTTTATTATTGGATGAGAAAGTAATATAAGATTACTGCCATTACCTAATATTCTTCGTGTATTTATGAAAATCCCTCATGTTTACACCTCAAATGACAATGATTTTTTCTTTCACCTGAGTTGTAACCTTCTAGCGTTTATTCTCGCCGTTCATGTTAATCACGTTTGCTTTTAGACTAAAGTGAAACTATTACTACTTTGTTATCTACAGTTCATCTATTTTGTCCTAAAACGTACTTGTGGCTGCCTAATTATTTTTGTTAAACTCAATCTTGAGGTTTAAGTGGTTGTTATACCAAATCACTGACGGATTATACTTCAGTCGACTCATTTGTTTGGTTATCTATAGACAACGTCTTGTTCTTTACTTACCAAGTACGTTCTTACTGGTTTAAGTGTAATTAGCTTCAAGCTATCCGAAAAATTACCGGATGGATTTACATTAGGATTCTTCAAGCTCTTCATAACAGTTTCTTCTCTGTATTGTCTAGATACAGTATTCTCCAGGTATTCTATTCATTTCATGTTGACATTTGATTCTAAATAGTATATTACATGTCATTAGATAAGTACTTCTTGTCATCTCTTGTACTAATACCTGTTGATTGTAGAAGTAAGATGACTGTGGAGAGACATTAGCGAAACCATAGGAACCTTGATATCTACAAGTATAGAGCACCTAATCCGATACCTATCTAATTGAATGCCATAGTAGAACTTTGGACGTTTTGTTTTTTCATGTAAGTATTCAAACTTCGCTTATGTCCACCCAAAATGGTTACTTCACAGCACTTATGTAACAGTAATCTATCCGTAAATAGTAATAATAACTATAATAATAATTACATCGATCGCCTTTGTGAACTTAAAACAAAATAACTAAGTCGTACTAATTCCAGTATGTCTAGTAATTGAACAATACAAAGTCAATAACTTGATTTCTAAGTACGCAGTATAATATTACCGTGAAAGGTTCAAACACAACACGAATAATTTAATTGTACAGTAAATGTATCGGTTACTCACTGAGCAGGATGATCGACCTATAGATAACTCTGAGCTTTTACTACCCAAGGATTTATTCTCCACTGTCATAAGATACTAGAATTGAGATGAATCATTTCTGTCAAAAACGTTACGCATTTTCTGAAGAGCATATACATCATGGTGCTTTTCCTTAAAGGTTTTAAAAGTGTTCCATCCCTTATTAGCACTATGAGCCACATGATCGGTAATTGAGGAGGTGCAGTTAAAGCAAGAAGTCAGGTTGTTGTATATGTTGGAAAGCTAAGTGCCATTGTCATTTGTGGTGAAATAAGATTCCCATGGTAAGCATCGAATGAGAGTTTCAGTGTGCATTCAAATTTATTGATCGAACTGCCTGCTCTGATACATTGTCGGAGCTTAACAATTCATTTGTATAGTGTTTAGAGAATAAACACTACTCAATACGACTATGTGATCACGACTATGTGAAATCATGACTGGCGTGCACTGATGTGGAGTCTATGTCGATTGTAGATAATAAATCAAGTATATTATTCCTCCCAGTCTGCCTTGTTAGACCCATCCACCATGTTCCTTTGTTTCAACTAACCTGTTATAACATAGTGGTACAGAAGTTGTATTCCATGTAATATTCGGCAGAATAAAAACACGTATGATGATTTTAAGAGTATGAGACTGGTGAGAAGCAATGAGAAACATGTTTGTTAACAGCTTGTCAAAGCTAGTATCTGCACGAGGTGGTCTATATATGCATCA